TATATATATATATATATATATATATATATATATATATATATATATATGCTTTTTTTTCTGGGTAAAAGGAACTGAACTCAGGGACACTCATCCCCAGCCTTATTTTATATTTTATTTAGACAGGGTCTCACTGAGTTGCTTAGCATTTTATTTTTGCTGAGGCTGGCTTTGAACTCACGCCTCAGCCTCCCAAGCTGCTGGAATTAAAATAGGAATGTGCCACTGCGCCTGTGACAATTGCCTTTGAGAGCCTACTTTGAATTCTCTTGGATATATACCCCAAAGGGTGGTTACTGAATCATACAAATCCACTTTTCTTTTTAGATGGACACAATATATTTATTCATTTTTATGTGGCGCTGAGGATTGAACCCAGTGCCTCACTTGTGCTAGGCAAGTGCTTTACCACTGAGGCATATCCCCAGGCCCCACAAATCCACTTTTAACTTGAGGGCCGACTATACTGTTTTCCATAATGGTTGTACCATTTTATTTTCTCACCAGTGTATAAGGGGCCCAATTATCTCACATCCTTGTCACCACTTGTAATTTTTGACCAGCCATCCTGATATGAGATGATCATGCTTTCAATTTGCATTTCTGATTATGTGATATTGAGCAAATTTTCATAAGCTTATTGTCCATTTATATATCTTCTTTGGAGAAATGTGTAATAAACCGTCCCCCCCCACCCACCTTTTCCTTGGGAGACAGAGTCTCACTAGGTTTCCCAGGTTGGCCCCAGACTCCTTGGCTTAAGTGACCCTCCTGCCTCAGCCTCCCAACCTGGGACTTCAGGTATACACCACTGCACCCAGCTCCCTTTGCCCATAAATAGGCCATTTTGTTGTTCTAAGTTCTTCACATGTTCTGGGACATGATCCCCATCAGATTTTCAAATATTTTCTCCCATTCCACAGATTATCATTTCATTTTATTGTGTCCTTTAATACACAGAAGTTTTGAAGTTTGATGTAAGCCCACTTCTCTCTTTGCCTTTTGTTGCCTGTGCTTCTGGTATTACTGCAAGCAAATTGCTGCTAAAGCTTTCCCTGTTTTCTTCTAGAAATTGTGTAGTTTTGGGTCTCAAATTTATATTTCTAATCCATTGAGTTAATTTTTTTTTTAAATATGGAGGACAGTAAGGGTTCGACTTCACACTTCTGCACATGGATATCCAGTTTCCTACTGCAGAAGAGATCAACCTTTCCCTGTCTACAGTGCCCTTGGAGAAAAGTCATCTGACAGTAAATGTGAGGGTTTATTTCTGGGATTTCTATCCTACTTCATTGCCTGTAGGATTTCTATCCTACTTCATATGCCAGCACCACATTGTTTTGAAATTAGAAAGTATGGTACCTGTCATTGTTTTTTCAAGACTATTTTGAATATTTGGGCAAGACACAATCAACTCTTGAAAAACTAAGTCCAACATATGACCAACAAAAATCACTTTCTCCTTCGCCTTGGGAACTTTTCCGAATTTTAAGAAAAAAAATCACGAGCTATATCAGAAACAAGGTACATAGAAAGGTAAAATTTATGATCACAAAGCAACACTTAGATCAGTAAATATAGCATGGCCCTCACTTTCCTTCCCCTCTGAACACTTTTCTGATCACAAAGTCCTCCTTTCCACAGGTTATTGGTATTTTGATGTTTCTGATCATTATTTTCTTCTCTTTAGAGCTCAGTAGTAGAGCATCTGCTGCATGTACAAAGCCCTGGGTTCCATGCCCAGCACACAAAATAACCCAAAAGCAAACACTGGGGAGGTTTTACCATCAAGTGTGTTAATGGAGACTTGTGCATCTTCCCTTTTATTCATTTTAAAGTAGAGTATTTTCTACTTTCCTTCTTTTGAAAAAGTCAGATTTTTTTGTGATTACTGTGGTTTTTTTGGTCAGTATACATTTAAGGCCGACTCAAGACCTGCTGGTCACAATGCTTAAAGACTCTGTTTCCTAAGCAACTGATCAGAGGCTTTCAGAGGTTCTGTCTTGTTCTGGAGGTCATTCCTAACAGGAAGGTTTGGCCCAGAAACACATGAGAGGGGAGTGACTGATGAACACGTATGTCTTCTGCAGGCACCAAGTCTCTATCTTGGGTGCACCTGGGTTAATGTGGTAGAAGCCTGCAACTATGTCAAGAGGGCACTCGGGTATGACAATTACTCTGAGCTTGGAAGCAGATTCTCCCCTCCTGATCCCTCAGATGATACTGTAGCCATGGTGATGGCATAACTGCAAAGTCATGAGATACTGATCCAGAACTACCCAGGCTCCTTCCTTACTTATGATCCAGAAACTGTGGCAATTATTTCAGGCTACTGGATTGGGTGCTCTACCACTGAGCTTACATTTCCAGCCCTTTTTTGATTTTGAGACAGGGTCTCCATAAATTGCCCAGGCTGGCTTCAAACTTGCAATATTACCCACAGGTCTCCCAAGTTGCTGGATTAGAGGTTTGTGCCATGGCATGCAGGTAACTAGCTAGATTTTGACATAATTTTCTATAAAATAATAAGTCTTCTTTTCCCAAACCAGAAACAAATAAATAGTAAACTATTATTAATGTGAATAAAACACATGCTTCACACTTCTTTCCCATTTGAAATTATTCACAGCTACAATATCTATATGTTAAATTTTGAACAACAAAGTCAGTAGTGATCTAGTATAAAAGCTTTTGGTTTGTAGTTTTGACAAGTTTTTGGTCCTATTTAACACAAGGTTAATATGATAAAAAATAATTATCAATATTTAAACTGCTGGGCTGGGGTTGTGGCTCAGTGGTAGAGTGCTCACCTAGCATGCATGAGGCACTGGATTTGATCCTCAGCACCACATAAATAAAGATATTGTGTCTACCTAAAACTAAAAAATAAATATTAAAAAAATATTTAAACTCCTAATAAATTTATATGACTATTAGTTAATAGGATGGTCAAATACTTTTTAAAAAAAATACCACTTGTGGGCTGGGGATATAGCTCAGTTGGCAGAGGTGCTTGCCTCACATGCACAAGGCCCTGGGTTCAATCCCTAGCACCACAACAAACAAACAAAACAACAACAAACCCACCTTGCCCAAAGAATGCCCAATTCAAGCTCAAAGATTATTTCCAAAACTGCACTCATGCACCAAACATTAATGTATTTGGCACAAAGGGGGCTTGGAATAAATGTTTCTTGAAGAAGGTGGTGAAAAACTTTTAAACCACTATGAATATAGCATAAAAGCCACTGTCAGTTTAACTAATGATTCAATATCAGGAGAACATTACAAAACACAGGAATTCCCCTGTACTCAAAACTCTCATGTCTCGAGCTGGGGATGTAACCCAATGCTAGAGTACTTGCCTAGTATGCTTAAGGCCCTGTTTGTTCAATCCCCAGCACCACAAAAAAAATCAACAACAAAAACCTACGAAATGACCCAATTTGATGGTGCTTCTCTAGTTCTTCTTACCCAAATCTTTGGCGAGAAGGATGATATGTGATTGCTCTCTTCCTGCTAAAACTACATCAGTAATAAAGAAATAAAAATGTGTTCGACACAATTGACAAAGATGACAGCAAAAGATACTTCAAAAAGCTGCGTGAAGGATAGAAAACAGATGAAATAACAAAAATTAGGAAGTCTTAAATTCAAATGGCTAATAACAATTAAAATAAGAAGTGATTAATCAAAACAAAAATAGTAAAGCTAGCAGTGAAATACTTAACCCTAAAAAAACCCTATTTAGAAATTTAAAAGAGATGCACCACCAAAATCATGGAAGGAACAGGGCTGAATAGAGAAATGATTATGTGTATTTGGTCCCCTCTAACATATGCAAATAGATCCATCATTTCTCAGATGAGCATAATCTCTCTGGGCATCCATTCTCTCATTTGCCATGAGAGAATAATACCTACTTTACATGATTATCAGGAAGGCTGAGTCAATACATATCAAGGGCATAAGAGTAATATTACCTGGCACATGGTAAGCATGCAACAAATTGTTATTTTAAACCTTTCACACTAATTACTTTCCAATTAATTATAGTGTATTTATTACTTTAAAAACCATTGTTAATAAGATCACCATTGGAGACACAAATCAGAGATGTAACAACAGCACTTTCATCTTGTGGACACGATTCCACAATGAATACAACAGTGACTACTTTGGCTTAGTCTCAATGCAAGAGTGTCACAGATAAGTTCTAACAACAGTAAAGTCGGGGCTAGTATTGAGAGTAAATGGGAGACTTAACATCATTCTGCAGATATAATGGACGTACATTGCTTACTTATGAACAAATGAGGACCTGATTACTACAGTAATTAGAAGTAACACACATAGGAATAGACTGAAATGAGAACTAAAACTCAATCCATAAATACACGAGAAATTTTACCTAGAAATCTTACTGTTTGAGCTATCTAAAAATCATATATTGCAACAACAAAACTAGAGGTTAATTATTTTTTTATTATTGAATTATACTGTAAATCTACATCTATGATTTAATCAGGAAGAAATGCTTTGTGTTTACAACAAAGACACATTTACTCTAGTGGAATAAAACAGACACAGACAAAAGACCAAATACATGTTTGTTTTTTTAAAAAAGAGTACACGTTTTACCCAGTCCTTTTGCTATTTTGGACCATACTTTTCCTATTAGAGAACTGATCTTACATAAATGTCAAGTAAAACATGCCTCCTCTGTGGCTCATCTCAAAGCAACATTTTAATTCAAAGAGGAAAGCTTTTCAGATCTATGAGTGCCTCTGCAGAATCAGACCTATAAGTGTGTCTGGTCTGATTTGCAGAAGTTCAGTAAAAATGTCTACAAAATACCTAAAATCTAAAAATCAGAATAGTGCTAGTTCAAACAAAAAGTTTGGTGGTCTAAATACACCTTCAATTTCTTCCTTTGTTAAAATTATCTTTTATTTTGGATGGTATTTTAAAAATAACTTATGTTTTTAGTGTGCTTTATGGTCAATGACGATAAAGTTGCAAATCAAATGATTAAGTTTAAAGTTTTTATGTTTTACCTGATTCTACTGAAATTTCTTTCCATCACCTACAATTTTATGCAACCAAGTTATACATGAGGTAAGTTTTAGCTAAAAAGTTAAAATAAATCAACCACAAAGATAAAGCTAACCATAATTCAAGAGTATACAAAATCATAATGCCCACTTTGCACTGAAAGTTTACAACTTTAACTACTACTTGTATGTAGTTTAAAAGCAAATACTTTTTTACTTTTTAATCAAACTATAGCTGGAAATATAGGGGGGGAAAAAACACTTGGCAAAAGTTTGTTTTTGGTAATAGAAGACAATGCAACAAATAATCCAAATGGAACAACACCAGTATTTAAATTTCTAACTTTTAAACAAAACACATACACTCACTTACTTTTCTTAAAAAAAAAAAAAAAAAAAATTCTGGTAGTAAATTGGATTGACAGAATCTTCAGTTGTAAATAAAAAGTACAAATTTCCAATTTTAGCCTTCTAGCTAGCTAATATGTACAGCCAGCTAGTTCTCTAAAACAAGTATTATGTCACCCTAAAAGATCCCTGCTAAAAATCAATTGTATTTAAATGGGTCTTACTGAAAGAGGACATTCATGATATTAGAAATCTTTTAAAAAGTGAGTATGATAGGGCTACAATAGCAACATTACTATCAATAAGTTACAGAAGAGATTATTGCTGTACTTTCCCTCATAAACACTGTCAATCTGTTTCAGTTACAAAAGTACAACCAAATTACTTTCTCTTATCAAATTTCAATGTTCCACCTCTGTAAAATTTTATTCAGCAGAGAATAATTCTTAATCTTTTCTGTAAGAATTCAAAGTATTTAAATGTGTAATTTCACATTATACTACCATGTTTTGCCCTTGTTTTCCAAATACACAAAACAATATATTTTCCCAAAAATGAAATAAGATGTCCACATTAAAAAAATAAAGCCTACAAAAAGTTCCAGAGCTAAAAAAGATTATCCATATGGCACAAAGTGATCTCCCACTAGTCCAAAGTCCAAAACATTTAAATGAAGTTCATTCAGATATCTTGTTTGCTTTTCCATGGAATATTAAATTTGAAGTGAAATCACATTATTTTTAGTTCTTGAGTCAACAAATATACACAAATGTTTTTCTAGTTATTAAAAATAGGAGACCAAGTTGAATGTGCCAAAGTGATATAATTCAGGTGGATTTTCTATTTTCATCATGAAGAAAACGAGAGAAAGGATTTCCTTGGTTGGTTTCCATAGCTTGATAAACCAAAAACAAAAAAACTGCCACAACAACAAACAGCAAAATTTTTATCCATACGGGAATGGAACGTCCCTTTTTTGTCTTTTCTGATTTGACATCTGCCAAAGGAACATACTTAGGAACATATTTAGATGAGAAAGATTCCTCCATCCTGAAATCACCGAGTTCTAATGGCCGGCCTGCAGCCCCTTTGATTGGTCTGCGGCAACTAGCACTGTTGAAAGTAAAAGGAGAAAGAGAAAAATAATTTTAGATGAGCTCATGATTTGAACAAGTAACATAAAACGTCATACCACTTCTAATTCTAAGAATATTCTATGAGGCAGCAGTACAAAATTGATATATATAAAGCCACAAGGTCAAGTCAATTTAAAACTTCTAAACATTTTCCACTTTAAAAGTCAGATGTATTTTTTATTAGAAAATAACATGCAGAACATTGATAAATGCTCACTGGACTTGCCTTAAAAGTTATTTTTAAAGCAAGTATATTTAGGAGAAAATTAAAACAGAAGGTAGTTTTGGCTGTGATTCTTTCAGTAAGGAAATAATTCAACAGGTAAATCTAACTCCAGTTTTTCAATTAGAAAGAATAAATGCACGAAATAATTGATTTCCTTCAGGGCTTGGGATTTAGCTTAGTGGGAGAGCACATGTTTAGCATGGACAAGGCCATGGGTTCAATCACAGCACCACAAAAAATAAATGAGGGAAGAGACTGAAGGCCTGGGGTTATACCCCTAGTACTGCCAAATAAATAAAATTAAATAAATAGAAGGTAAAAGATTTATTTATAATCCTTCAACTTGACAAGTTAATTTTTTTTTATTAGTTGTTTTGACAAGTTAATTTTGAAAATGATTCAACTTTCAAGGACACGAATAACTTGTGGCTTAGGAGAATTAATCTGTTCCCCAAAGAACAGTTTAATTCTGAAAACAGAGTAAAATAACTTTGTAATGAAGAATGAAGAATTCCCTAGCAGAGTACACTTATACTTGATTCAGTATTTCCAAGTACCTAATTCCTGTTGGTGTAGATGCTTCATAGGGGAACATTTCCTTAAGAATATCTCTTTCTACTCTTCTTTCCTCTGTTTTTTCTCCCACCTAACAAAAAAGAAAGAAACAAGTTAAAATTCAATATAAGTGTGTAATAATTTTAAATAGAAGTTTTAGAGAACAAAAATGCCCTTTAATCTATCCTAGCTTTTATGACTGCCGTTTCTAAATTTATTACCATCTAGGTATTCACAGAGTTCTACGGCTCTCTTTAAATTTCTTCATCATGAAGTGATATTAATGTGGCTATTGGGGGAAAACTGCCATGCCAATAAACAGGGGAAAAAAAAAATCAGCAACCTAATGTGGCAGTGTAAATTCCCTCAATGATTTTCCATGTTTTTCATTAATAAAACATTAAGAATACATTTTTTCTTATTAGGAATTCCATAATAAAATAAAATAATCAAATATAGGAAGTGACCAATTAACATGGACCTTTAACCAATTCTAGTTTATGTTTAAAACTATAGGCAATGCAATCTCCTCAGCTTAGAAAAAATTTTGGCTTGTTTTGCTGTATATGTTTACCTTTAAAACCCACATCAAAATAATTTCATCTCCTTTAATAAAGATTCATAAAAATTATAATGTACCATGCAGTTAGTACTTTAAAGCATAATTATACAGGAGTTAACCCATTCAAGCACCACACAAAGTCACTTTAAAGTCCCATTATTTAACATTTCGACAGAAGAAAGATGTAGCATCCCTCACAGCCCAGGCAGCACTTCTAAACTTGCATCCATGACAAATAGAACATATTACAAGCAGCACACAAATGACCACTCCTTTGAAAACCAGAACTTAAGAAGGCACATAGCAGCAAAAGGGTAGTATTAGCATGGCATACTATATTAGTTAATTTCTGTTTTCACTATTAAAAGTGTCTTAAAAATGAGAAATGCGTGTGCTCACGCACGCACGCGCGCACACACACACACACACACACACACACACACACACAACCACCACCCAAGAAAGCTCTGTTCCCTCCCACTGGAGAAAAAAAAAAACCCAAATATAAATATTTCCTCTTTAAAAGATCAATGATAGCATTGATCTAAATTTTATTCATTTACTTCAGCTCTCGTCAATGGTTTCTTTGGTGTTCTTCTGGGTATGTCTGAGAATTCAGTGATTGGCAGAATAGAAGTTGCATGCTTGAAATTTCCAGTCACCCTATTGACAACCTGCCAAGATTCAAATTATTCAGACTCAGAATTATCCAAACATAACAGACACTTAAAAAGAAAAGAAAATATTCTATTTCTGTAACACGTGACTTTCCCTTAACAAAAATTTAGGCAATGGAGCCCAGAAACACACACGTTGAGTACTTTATAGGTCTTATAGTTCTTCAAATACTTAGTAAAAAAGTATGGATTCTTGTGTGAGGAATTGAACTTATTTGTAATAAAATAGCTATATTGAAAAATTCTAAAATTCAGAAATATATGGGGGGAAAACCCGTTTGAAATATTAAAAATTTGTAGATTTTGAGATTTGCCAAAATTTACCACCTCCCCATTTCCAATTAAAGGGCAATTTTCAAAGAAGACCACTTGTATAGTTCACAAAACATATTTACTAAGGATTCGTTGCTTGAAGCCATTATAGTTTCAGCTATGGGAGTACTCTCTGAAATTACTGCACCATCTATACGAAAATGTTGTGAAGTTTCCACCTGTTAGTTTGAAAACAAAACAAAAACAATAAATATAAAGTAATCACTAAAACCCTACCAATCTGAAAACCCAATTCTAAGGAATAAGCCTTGCATCACCCTTTTCCTTGGAGTTCTTCTTGACCCTCTTGGAGATTCCCTAGTTAATGCCTGCAGAGGTCCGCCTTTGGAAGATCCACTTGTCCATTCAGTCTCAGTTACTCCAGCTTGTGAATAGCTCTATTTAAGCATTGACACATTAAAAAGTCATATTCTAACATCAAACACCCTAAAAATGGCCACATTAGCACACTGCAAAGCCAACAAGTCTCCAAATGCCAGCATTTACAAATAATGCTATGCCTTCAAAACATTTCTATCGCACCGATTGAACATTCAGCATCAGAAAAACTCTTAAAGAATCATAAAATACACTAAAGAGTCCACCAATAAGAGGGGAAAAAACACCAATTATCACTGGGTCCTTTTGTGACTCATTGTATGCTTGGGCAGCTCTAATAATGCAGCTGCAACTCTTGTCTCAACAAAGAAGCAGAATGATCATGACTTAAATGAAAGTCATTTATTATATAGCAGGTCAATTTCCTTTTAAAACAAAAACACAAACTTTTGGCTGAGGATGTAGCACAGTGGTAGAGTGCTTGCCTAGCATGTGCAAGGCTCTGAGTTTGATCCCTAGCATTGCAAACAAACCAACCAGAACTTTTCTGACTGTTAGAACAGATCAAACATTCTTTTCATGTGATTAGTATTATTTTAATAGAAACAGTTTGAATTATAAACCATACTTGGCTATGTAAACTAAAAAATTCCCAGGTGTCAAACTCTTAGAAACAAACAGACTCAAACAAGAAAAACCTAATGATCATCCTAGTGAATATATAAACACAGTATGTCACTGCCAAACCACAATGCTCCCACACCTCATACAGAAAGATAGAAAGGTAATAGTGATGGTTACTACTTTCTAGTTCCGGATTAATTTCTCCCTGGAGGGGGGGAGGGGATCAACAGATTGTTTCCTTTTTTAAGAAATAATTTTATTAGTTCCTGGATGCTTACAGTTTTAAATTCATTAGGCCAAATATATATATCAATCACCTGAACCTTTTGTTAAAATGCAGAATCTGATTCAGAGGTTCTGGAACGGAACCTAAGATTCTGCATTCCAAGTAACAAGCTTTCAATTTTGAAGCCGCTATTATCAGATGATTATTTTAAATTCCTTCTAACTAGATAACATCAACTAATTATTAGTATTACAGCACAGTGTGCCTAGGTTGTCACTTTTCAAGATAATATTTTACCTAGATAACTGGTAGTATTATGACCAAGTTAGTGTCTATTAAATTTAAAGACACATTTATTCTTATCCTGTAACAAGAAAAATTATTTTAAAATATGCAAATTTGTACCAAAACCTCACAAAGGAACATTGTCTCATGTATCTGATTTTATATTTATCTGTACTTGGAATTGACATAAGAGTTTACTTTTTCTCACAATCTAAATCTGTATTCCTTATCCAACTAACAATTAGGAAATACTTGCTGAATGTAAAATTATAGTTAGTCTAAAGACAAATGTGTAAGCAAATCACAAAACATAATAAATGCTTAATAGCAGTCAAATTCTTAAGTATTTAAAAATAAGAAAAAATAATAGTTTTAATTTGAGGTTCTCAATCTTGGTGGCAGAGTATCATCTAGGGAGAGCTTTATAATCTGTTGGATGCTCCCAACCCTCACCTCAGACCAATTAGATCAGAATCCTTCTAAAAGGGTCTAGACAGGGCTGGGGGTATAGCTCATTGGTCAAGTATATGCTTAATGTCTGCAATGCCCTAGGTTCAATTTCTAGCACAAATGAGTAAACACAAATTAAAAAATAAATAAATAAAAGTCTGGATACAGTTAATTCTTATTGCTCTTAAGAGGATTCTAATGTGCAGAGTTGGGAATAACTGGCTTAATATAACTGCAGTAGATTTAACATGCACCTTGAAGTTAAGGAAAAAAATCCTACTTAAATATTGGTCTCTTTTAAAAAAATTTATTTTCATGTGTACTTGGACAAAATACCTTTATTTTAATGTGGTGCTGAGGATAGAACCTAGGGGCCCGCACATGCTAGGCGAGAACTCTACTTCTGAGCCACAACCCCAGCCCCGAATATCATTCCCTTTTAAATAATTAATTATTCAATGCTGGTCAAAATAATTAGAAGTATTTTAAAAATATTTTAGTTTGATAGTCTATTTGACATGTATTCAGTACTTAAAAACTCTTCAAAGAATTACATTACTTGAAAGAACTAAGTTTATCAGTTGTGTAAGTGACACAATAAAACCAGACACTTTACCTATAACCAAGATGAAGGTAAAGGGGCTGGGGGAAGACAATCTTTTTCCGTAGAATTGATCATCTACCAAACTCAAGGTTTAACTTTCTTTCTTTCTTTCTTGGTACCAGGGATTGAACCCATGGGTGCTTTACAACTGAGCTACTTTTACTGTGCCAGGCCAAATTCCAGAACTTTGTTATGTTTTGGATTGAATAAATAATAGTCCATTAAAAACTTTACCAAACATCTACTGAAATAATAATTATGGTTAATTAAAAATAAAGTTTACATTTTTAAAGTTAAATTTCATTTAAAGTTCTTTATAATCTTTTGTGGCAGGAAACACAAGGAACGTTGGTTGACTGAGGGCCTACTTGAGAATTCTAAAAATAATTTATATTTCTTTTGTTCAGATTTTATAAGTTCTTGGAAAATTTCAACCAGTTTTATTAGTTCTCATCATTATCCAATTTAGGATTAGTGATCTTTACGGAAAACTGAGAACCTTTAACACAATTAAAAAAGATATTCTAGGGGCTCAAGCTGCAGCTCAGTGGTAGAGCATTTGCATGTGTGAAGCACTGGGTTCAATCTTCAGCACCACATAAAAATAAATAAATAAAGGTATTGTGTCCAACTAAAACAAAAAATTATCCTAAGGATTTTTTATTAGAACCCACATCATAAATGACTTTAAGCTGGGTGTGATGTCACTCGCCTGTAATCACAGCTGCTCTGGAAGCTGGGGCAGGAGGATTGCGTGTTCAAAGCAGCCTCAGCAACAGCAAAGCACTATAAACAACTCAGTCAGACCCTGTCTCTAAATAAAGTACAAATCAAGGCTGGGGATATGGCTCAGTGGTTGAGTGCCCCTAAGATCACCCCCCCCAAAATTAAAAATATAAAATTATAATTCAGTACTATAATTATTTAGTAAGATGATAAACAATGATTAAAAGGAAGCTCACTGAGATGTAAAATTAGAAATGTGATTGCTGTGTATTTTGCAGACAAAATAAGAATTGCAGTATCATCTATGTTCAGTGAGATGTTTTCATATTGCTTTCTGATAATATATCAGGCAAAAAGTCAGTCAAAAGACATTAAGTAGCTGAGGCACTTGAGAACATTTGCAGGAGAGCTAGGTTAAAAAGGCAATAAATCCTCATCAACAAAAAGACGAGCACTGAGCTGGGGATATAGCTCAGTTGGTAGAATGCTTGCCTTGCATGCACAAAGCCCTGGGTTCAATCCCCAGCACCACCACCAAAAAAAAAAAAAAAAAGGAAAAGACAAACACTCACCTTGGCATTATTCATAACAGCATACAAATGAAAATTACTCAAATATTAACCAAAAGGGAAGTGGCTAAATAAATTACAAACTGCAACACAAAGTGCAGTTGTACAAAACAATGAGGAACATGGATAAATTCAGATATGGAGTGATCTGGGATATGTGCTTAGGTTAAAGATAATGTACAAAGTAGGTTGCCTTTTAAGCAAAGAGAAAGGGAACAAACATATATACATACATATCACATATATGTATAAATAAATTTGTGCATTTACTTATATTTTCAAAAAGAAACTAACCAAAGTTTGGTTAAAGAAAAAAAAAAAAAGAAAAAACAACAAACCCCCCTAACAGTACATTAAGTTGTGGCTTTAGGACACAAATGAAAAGTCTTTCAAGTATATTTAAACATAGCATTTGACTTTATATCCTAATGAAATATGCCCTAAAGAAAAGGAAAAATAAAGTCCTAAACCGCATTTAGCAATCTTATTGTTAGAATACTGTGAAACACCTGTGATACATAAGATATACTATCATTTGAAGAACCAAGATACCAAGCATTTTAGAAGAGATATAAGTGTAACACCCAAAAGTTCACCATTCATTCATGATTTACTTTTCTCCGAAAAGGAGTAAAGCAATGGCAACTTCATTGAAGGAGCACCCTAGCAAGAAACTACCAAAGACATATGGGAGACAATAAAAGAATACAGGATACAGGAACCAACTTAGTAATTTCCACTGACAAAAGATGGCACACTGTGGGGCCGGGGTTGTGGTTCAGCGGTATGTGCAAGGCACAGGGTTTGATCCTCAGCACCATATAAACATAAATAAAATAAAGGCATTATGTCCAAATACAAAAAAAAAAAAACTAATGCTGTGGGGGGAAAGAAAAAATGACTATAGTACACATAGTACATCACAAGTCAATATGTAAAGTTTTATTGCTAACCCTTCGACATATTAATTATGAATATCAATTTGAAAACTGGCAAACAAAAGGCAAGAAAGCATTTCTCTTGTATAAATTTTTTTTAAATATTTATTTTTTAGGTATAGATGGGCACAACACAATGCCTTTATTTTTATGTGGCGCTGAGGATCGAACCCGGGTCCCACCGGTGCTAGGTGAGCGCTTTACCTCTGAGCCACAATCCCAGCCTCTTGTATAAAATTTTATTTTTAGGTACCTGAGAAATTTATGAGGAATGGTTCTTTATTAAAAAAAAAAAAAAAAAAAAAAACCTGGTCATAGATATAAAGGAGTGAGATACTGAGACAAATCACCATTTTATTTTATTTATTTATTCTTAAATTTTTTGGTAGTTAATAGATGGACAGAATGCCTTTATTTTATTTATTTTTATGTAGTACTGAGGATCAAACCCAGTGCCTCATGCATGCTAGGCAAGTGCTCTACCACTAAGCTACAGCCCTAGCCTTCACCATTTTACAACCATTTTATCTTTTGTATTGCTGTGAATTGAACCTGGGGTGTTGAGCATGCTAAGCAAGTGCTCTACCACTGAGTTACACCCCAACCCTCAAATCACCATTTTAGAACCTCAAATAAAATAATGGATTTAAGCAATAATCATTAATAACAACTGGAACCATTATAATGAAAGGCCAATGTAAAACTTCTAATTGGATAGATAATTCTTTCAATATCTGAACCTACTAATTAATTTTGGCATCATCAAAAGGGCATGTGTATATATATATCTCCTGAAATGATCAATAGGAAGACTACAGCATCATTCTTGCCAAAGAAACTGAACCTGAATCTAACCAACCCTTCAGATCTATTCTGTTCAACATGGAAGCCACTAGCCACATGTATCAATTTAAATTTAAATTAAATATAATTAAAGACTTGGTTTCTCAGACATGCTAAGACAAATTCCATGTGTTCAAACCCTAGACACTACTGTAATGAACAGCACAGATATAAAACATTTCTATCATTAGGGAACAATCTATTGGACTAACTTCCAGTGTACAGGATACACAGGGTCTAGAAGAGCAAATTACATGATCTGACAAATCAAATCCAGAATGTGGGAGAGAATCTAATGACCTAATTTCTAGACCAAATAAATGGAGGGAAGAAAAGCAGTTTAGTAAGAATAGCCACAGACTTAGAAATCTAAAAAATTCATTTAAAAAATAAAATACAATGTATGGATCTTGTCTGGATCCCTGATTGATCCAAACAAATGTAAAATAGAAAAGTGCAACACTTCTAAAACTGGAATAACATGAACAGTTTAGATATTAAAAAAAAACTAATAATTTTACTAGGTAGGAAAATGACGCTGTCATTTAAATAGCTATATTTGAGAGAGAAACATTAAAATATTGACACTAACATGTGAAATATGTTAGGGATCTGCTTTAAATACTCCAACAAAAGGCAAAACAACAAAATCAAAAGCAATTTAAAAAGCTGGATGGAAGATGTAGGTGAAGATGAAACTAAATTGGTAATATATTGATAACTAGGACATCCTTGACTGGAGAGTTATTAAACTCTTCCCTCCACTCTTCTGTTTTACATTTTTTGTAATAAGTCCACAGTTTTATTCTGCCTGTCAACTCCTTAACCTCAACTCTCCTTTGACTATTTATCCTGCTCCTCAGTTTAGATTCCCCAAACAATTAACCATTAAACCATCTTTAAACCCCATACCTTCCTTTAAACTACTATCAGATCAGACACACATTCTTGGTAGACACCTTGCCTTCACATTCTGGAACAAAATCCTCCATGTTTGTCTATTGCAGTGCCTTTCATGATATTCCTAATTTCTTCTGCTCTTACTCTTATTTCTGTATTCCTTAATATGACTCTAAAGCTCTTTGCTAGCAAAACTCTAAAGTCAATGAAATACTTATTCTGGTATTTAGTTCTGTATCAAAACAGAACAGGGCTGGGGCTGGGGCTCAGTACCACATAAAAAAAAATAAATGAGTGAAATAAAGGTATCATGTCCAACTACAACTAAAAAAAAAAAAATTCATTCAATACCCTACACATTTTCTGTAGCCATCCAGCTTATTTTTAATAAATGGTTCTAAAATTACACATACCAACTACATCAAATGAACAGAGGAACATGGCTTACAAGAACATGTTGGGTTGGGAATTTAACTCAGTGGTAGGTTCATGATTAAGACGCATGAGGCCCTGAGTTCAATCCCAGCTATGCATGCATATGTGCATATGAATACAAACACACACAAAATTCCATTTTAGGACATGTCCCCCCGCCTCCCACCCTTACTGAGAATTGAACCCAGGAGCACTCTACCTCTGAGCTATATCCCCAGACCTTTTGTTAAATGTTGAGAAAGGGTCCTGTTAAGTTGCCCAAAGACAGCCTCAAATTTCACTTCCTGACTGCCTCAGTCTCAAAAGTAGCTGGAATTACAGACTTATGCCACCATGCCCAAGTGCAACTTTAAATGATAAACAGAACATGGAAAAGATAAATAGCTAACTAGATAAAATTTTCAACTAAAGACTAAGGACAATGAAAAAGACTGTAGAGATAAGTTATTAAATTAAAGCCAATAATTAGTTCTCTATAAACTAGTTCATTTATAACTATGTTGATTTTCCCCTTAATTTCCCTTTGCATTTTGCTTCTTACACAAAAAGTCAAATTTTCATCTAGAATATGAAACAGCGTCAGAGAAACACTACAAAAGACAAAGCAGGTAAAAGTAAAAGCAAATTCAGAAATCCAGAGAAAAAGACACAAATATAAAACTACCCCCTGCCTTTTAAAGAAGCTGTACCAAAAGCACTAAGACAGTTCTATCTTTTAAAATATTTCTCTCAAAAAGCTGTATGGTAGTAGAGCACTTGCCTAGCACCCATGAGGCCCTGAGTTTGATTTCAGCAACTGGGAAAGAGGCAGTTTGACCAGCTTTGAACCATGCTTAGTACAGAATCAAACACAAATGAGACTTTTATCAAACACTTGCTTTTGCAGTAAACATAACCTACAATACTGACATACCACAAAGTTTAGATTTCCCATGCCATGTAGCTAACTATGAAATCAAGTTAATAGTACACTGAATTTGGGTATCAACTGTTAACCAAATTTAACATGACGGATGAGTGTCATCGGATTACTTGAATCTGTACATGTTGATTATAAAGCTAAATATACCTGGTTGTGCTCAAGTCTTCTTTGCTTGAGTGTTACTGGAGTCTTTGCTCTGCCCTTTAGTGGTTCTCTCTTCTCAAGCTTGAGCTCTATTTTAGAGTCTGGAAATAATATTGGAGAAACCATTACTTTCTGAAACATGTAAGTTATGTTCTCCTAACACAATTTGGGAATCCAGTTTTAGGCACATTAATACATAAAACAAATTTGTCTATTGGTGATATCTCAATAGACCAAAATTGTTTAACTACAATTTGTCTTAGAAACTTTTACTATTATATTCCATTTTTAAAAATTCCCTCTTTAAATCCCATTCCCACTTCCTACTTAATTCTCCTTTTCTTTTTCTCAGACTAATAGGATTAAATATAAAAGTGTATTCCAACTGCTCCTGGAGGCTTTTCACTAAAAAACAATTTCAAATGTGGGAAAATGACATTAAAATAGTCAACACAGTTTGCCATTATTTTGTCCATGTAGTATATTGCTACTATATGACAAAAGTTAGCTTGTTAAATTTAAGTTTGGTGTGTGGAAAAGAAAAACCACATAGATTTTTAAGAATTAAAAAAATCTGTATTATATTAAGCCTCTAAGGTAATTGTCAATGATATTAACATGTAAGTAATCTAAAAGTCTCTTCTCAATGAGGGGTATAGCTCAAAAGTCCTGGGTTCAATTACCAGCACCCAATTAATCCATTTTTGATGCAGTCACAAAAAGTCCAGATGAAACTGAGATAAGAAGGAATCTTGTTCACAGAAAAGTTACAACAATCACAGGGCACTTCTTTTTCCCTTCCCCATAATAAAAATGTATTTCTTTGAAGATGAGTCAGTATTTACTACATTTTTCATAGATTTCAATTTTTCACTTTTCTGGTCTTGATTTTATTGTCATTTGAAGACCTCCATTTAAAAAAATATGTACCTTTCCCATTTTTGTGGTCATTTATTATAGTGTAGCAAACTTAGTTTAATCAGTTGGTTCTTCTAAAAACTTCTACCACCAAAAATTTGTTATATAATTTTCTTACCAAAAAACAAGAATGGAGTCAATTCTTAAAGCTCAATTTTGTATGAATTCAATGTAGTTGTGCTACAAAGTGGTCAAGATGGCTACGTCCTGCTAACTTCCAATCTGATATTAGTCAGTCTAGAATTTATTTGCAAGTTTCCCAAAAAGAAAGGTGATTTTTATCAAGTTAGTTCAAACAGTTCAATCTTCATTTGGGAATAGGCTATCAACTATATTCTCCCATTTCCACTAATAGATATATTTGGTACAACCCTTAGCATCATAAAATTTACTTTTATTCTTTGTTAACTTGAAATCTAAGAATTAGAAAGCACAAGGTAAAATACTTATAGCCAAGCAGAAACTGATTAGGCAAATAATTTATCGGATTACAGATTAATTCCCCTTACAAATTTAGATTCCAACAGTCAATAAAAACATGGTCTTCAATAGAAGAAAATCCACACAACAATAACTGGAATATTTAATTATACTATTGGAATGTTAAGTGAGTTTCAATGATGAGATGGAAATGAAATGTTCATCCACAAATATTCAACTTGTTTTAAACTTCAAGAATAAAGCACACGTACAACACGTTTCTGGAGACCACACAAAACTGTTCAAATTTAACAACTTTATTGAATTTGTAGGAGCATTCTACATCAATACATTTTTTAAAATCACAAAGTACTTAGTAGGTACATGTATACATGTACATTTTAGAAGACAAATAACAAAATTACTCCCAGAAAGCTGCAAAGATGGAATGTGTAGTCTAAGAATAAATGGATAGAGAACTGAAGGGACCATATTCTGTTATGCTGAGACTACCATTTCCCACAATGTCTCTACAATCAGATTCTTTTATCTTACAATCATAGAAATGAAAACAGGATAATACACTGTTTTATACAGACATAGACACTGGGATATAGTATGATTTCTTAAGGCTTTAAGAAAAAGCTGATAAATTTGCTTTTCGTATCAAGATTATTAAGCCTAATCATCCATGAAATACCACATACCTCAAAAGAAAAGTATTTTTTTTTAAAAAAGCCCCATCTCTCCAGTGTCTAGTTCATCTGACAAAATAGAGTGGTAGTGTATGCTTGTACTATCCTAGACTATTTACCAACAAGAGCAATGTCTTTCAAAGTGAGGTACATGAATTGTTAGTTAATTCGGAAGTGATGAGGCATCTGTATCAGACTGTAAAGCCATATACTGCTTTTGCTATCAATAAGTGTACTACATAAATAAATCCTTTCATTGATCTAAAAAGTGCCTTTATATTTAAATTCTTTTATTAAAAAAGCGATGGGGGATGGGGAGACTAACCCAGGGCCTTGCACATACTACACTCCTGAACTATGTCCCAAACCCCTTAGTCTTAAAATTTTTGTGCATGTTTGTCTGTGGATCAGTAATAGTTTGTGAACTGGTTACTTTAAGTTGCACTGATCTTGAATATTATGAATGCTACTGCAGGTATCAGCATATAACAAACAAAAGAAAATAAAAGTGTAGACAACTTCTAGAAAGTGAAGTATCAAAAAGGATAAATCATTGCTTTAAATGTGTAATTAGTGTTTAATTCTACCCTAGATAGAAAAGAATATGCATATGATATTTGAAACAGTGAAGAATCTACTTATTTTAGTATTGAAACTCTCTCAGTTTTGAAGAGTTGTAAAAAGTATAATAGGAAACATTAAATATTTGAGACAAATATATGATCTATAAAGCTTAAAACTTTATCAGCCTTTCTATCTGTGTAAATCTAAAAGAGCAGTTCCACATAGGGAATGACTTAACTATCTGAAATTCCTTATCAAAGATAAGACAGGTGACTTAGCTCTTAACTTTATTTTTTTCCACGCTTTTTAATTACTTTGTTTACTTCTCCTCCAAATAATGTTCCACCTTTAAAGGGAGTCACAGTCAGCTTATTCTTAGAAGCTGGATTAATTTTGCAATCCTTCAACCAGAGATATCGACGACCAAGAGTGGAAGATCCCATGGTATAGGCAGCCATCTTCACTTCATCAAATGCAGCTTCACAAAGAAACGAAGCTGCATCATATGTTTTGCTCAGAATATTGAGTGCCTGGTGTGTACGACTAGGATCTGAGCTAATAATTTGTGCAGCCTGACTAATGTCTGCTTGCATAGCCTTAACTACAAAGGCAGTGTGGGTTGCAATCTGCATCGTGGATGCTGCAGCTGTATATGCTCTACAAAGTGTTAAGTCCAAGTGTTTATCACAAGACTCAGCAGAGCCCTCCTGAATACCTGCTGGTGGGATAGTTTCAGAAATAAACCCTTGGATTTCATCATCTACTTTTGGAACGGATAATATCTGGGTCGCCTCTCTGGAAGAAATTGGATATTTGCGTGCCAATGAAGGCAACTGCCTGTCGATCTGCTGCCACTCCTCTTCAATTACTTTTAAAATAGATTCATGGAAGGGAAAAGATAGTTCTGAGCTATCAATGTTATCATGCTGTGATTTCTCAGACTTTTCCATGCCTAAGGTACTAAGTGCATGAGAGACAACAGTTTTGGCAAAAGACATATGTTCAGATTCAGGTATATCCTGCAATACCTGGCTATCCTGAAATGACACAGAGGAACCTGAATCCCTCTCCTCTACTGACTTCTCACTGAGTCTAGGGAATTTTCGTGGAGGAGACAGGGAAGTGGTTTCTCGAAAACTAGATTGACCAATTCTCTTGCATATGTTTTCAATGTCCAGTGTGGGTATAGAGTTAGAAGTCCCAGGTAAACTATCTACCCCACCCTGGACCAACAGAGAATTGACATAATCTTTGATTGCCTGAGCAAGTTGTGGGGAAATTACTTGTGATCTCTTAGACTCCTCTAGTACTTCCCTTTCGCTGGAGAGAATGCGCTGATCTGAAATATTGGACTTCTCAGTATATAATGGCTGAATTCCACTTTTCTCTCCACGGTAAATATTTTCTACTATGTCTTTACAGTAAGAAGTAGTGGTTTCTTTAATCAGTGAAGGAGAAGCTGCAGTAGAGCCCAACATCGCAGCGAGTTCACGCTGAGAGGATGACGAAGAACTTTTCTCTACACTCCTATCATGGCTAGTCTTAGAGGAAAATAACAAATTCCCTCCAGAGGCTAAATTCTGCATCTGTCTCTTGCCAGGCAAGGTTGTGGCAATAAGAGGCTCCCTAGGTGGGTCGCCCTTAGAAGTATGTATTTTCTTAGCTGCCTGTAGTTCAGTCCTGCCCAAAGGAGGACGGGTGGAGATTTCAGGAAAAGAAATACCCTGAAAAAATCCACCAGAGGGAGTAGCTGGAAGTCCAGAAAAAGGAGCAAAATCCCTAGTGGACTTCACTTTCTTGTGTTCTTTCTTCTTTCCTGTAGAGGCAAAAGAGGCAGGAAGTTTAAGCATTACTTGTGTTTGAGCTGGTTTTATTCTTGCCTCCTTGCTAAAATAGTGCTGTTGAAGGAAAAGACCCTATATTTCATATTCTGAACAATTTGGCAGACTGTGCCTTAGAAGGCAGAGCTTTTAGAGATTTGAGTAACTTGGGTCAAATTAGATAATCACAAAACTAATGAACAAGGCATATGAATCAAGAGTTTATAAATATCACATTGCACTTATCATTTTTAAAAGGACATTTATTTCATGTGCTAGTATCAAAAATTTTAAATATCACAAATTTTCTTTAAAATAGTATAATATATAAAGATATGGTCAAAATATTTACTTTAAAGTTGCCATGAAATCAGATTATCTAGCAACAATTTAAATGCCTGTCAGAAAAAAATAATGTGCCACATTCAAATGCTACCACTATATATTAACAAGGAATAAAACATATACATACTTAATAAAGATTAGATTAAAAAAATAACATGGAATAAAAATACAAGCACAAGAAGTAGCATATGATTTATATAGACTTTTTTAAAGTACAAAATAATACTATATATTAGATGAATAAGTATTAAAAAACTAAATAGATCAGTAGCTACTGATAATGGTCACTTCTGTGGAGATGATAATAGACAAGGGCAAAAGTGGAGAGAGTCTTTACAAAAATGAGATCTGAAGCAAAAGATAGTTAACTGGTAAGTTTGGGTAATAGAAAATTAGACACTTGTACTTTTTTGTTTCTCATACTTGTTTCAAGTATTTAAATCAAGTTACTTGTAGAATTACTCTAATAATATGAACAAAAATTACATATGTCCTGCCAATATTGTTTTAAACTTTACCTTCTTAATGAATGAAGTCTCATGAGAATCTAAAATAATTACATGCATTTACAATTTAAAAATTTTACCTTCTTCATTGTCACTGTATCTGTCAGAGTCATTACTTCCATTCTGCCTAGTATTTTCTGCTGACGAGGAAATTGTTGGTAGAGGAGTAGAAGATCTTGATTCTGGTCCTTGTTCTCTCAGTTTCAATAGCTTTTTCTCATACAGCTTCCTGGTTGTTCCTATATCAGGGCAAAACTTGATTTTAGCTCTTGCATTATCTTATTTAAGGTCTAGTTCAGAAATTAAATAACATTATAAACTCAATTTTTACCCTTTCCTTTCCTAAACTTTATTACTTAAAAATAATAATAATAATAATGGGGTCTTTTCAAAAATAGGAATTTTTCTGAGATTTTAATGAGATTATAAATGTTTCTTTTAATAACATGGAATACACAGTAGATTGGTATAGGTCTTAGAGATTAGCTACCAAAGAATCATGTATGACTCTTTTTTAAAAAATATTTTTTTTTAGCTGTTGATAGTCCTTTATTTATTTATATGCAGTGCTGAGAACCAAATCCAGTGTCTCACACATGCCAGGCAAGGGTGCTACTGCTGAGCCACAGCTTCCACCCGCCATGTATGACTCTTTTTGACTGCAAGTCTTGGACTTTGTATATTTTCTCTACAATTACAGAAGTATACGCCAATATAGAAAATTCTAGAAACAGATCATGCCCCCTGAGGAATATGCACTGATATATTATATATAATCATATATAATTATATATAATTTTATTATACCGTACAATGTAATTCTATATAACAAACAGCTTTTGTTTTCTGTTTCACACTAGCTATATCTTTCCTTAATTTCTGTAAGTTGAGTAAAATGAGTATGGACTTTTATAAACAATACATATCCAGAAATATAAAGTAGTCTTAAAACGAACAGCTGGTATACCATCATGTAATTTAATGTATGCTGGTACATATCAGCATCTTCCTTTTACAATTTTAAACAAAATCTTTGTGTTCAAAATTTTCTACAACTTAGATGATCAAAATGAATTTTTCTCACCTTGAGGTCATTGTCAAGACCCTCATAAAATAAGGTAACTGCTACCTTGCAATAATCACTGAGCCACATTCCCAGCCCTTTTTTATACTTTATGGGGGGGGGGGGTTGCTAAGTTGCTGACGCTGACTTTGAACTTAAGATCCTCTTGCCTTGAGTGCCACCACAACCAGATAGTTTATCATTCTTTAAATTATCTTTAAATTCCAATCAAGATATGGCACTTTTAATGATAAATGGAAAACGGTACTAGGCTAGGAATTGAACAACTTTAGTTATATTAGTCAGTTATTAACCTACTGATGTGGATGAACTGGCCAGTTAAGTTAGCTGAGATTCTCAACTGTCATATTAAACCCATATGGGCTTGGAATAGTGGCGCACACCAGTAATCCCAGCAGCTTGGGAGACTGAGGTAGGAGGATCAAGCTAGCTTCAGCAACTTAGCATCTAAGCAACTCAGTGAGACACTGTCTCTAAATAAAATACGCACACAAAAAAGGGCTGGGGATGTGGCTTAGTGGTTAAGAGCCCCTGGGTTCAATTCCCAGTAAGAAAACAAAAAATAATTCAATATAGTCTCACCAGGTGGTGTGATATGTGCACCACATAAAGCAATCTCAACCACAGAGATAAGAGATTAGCTAGTTCAATTCTTTTATTTTATTTCCCTCGATAGGGTTAAGGAAATTAAAGTCTTGGTCATACAAAGGGTTAATGGTAAGACCAGCCCTTGGAACCCAAATTCTAATCACTAGGCAAGAAGAGAAAACAACTTAGGGCCTTGCTTCATAGAAAATATATTTGAAATTTTATGAACTTACCCACAATAGGACCAGGATTCACCCCATATTTCACAAGCTGATCCAGAAGTTCTTCATTAGAGAGCTCTGTTACATCTAGATCATCCTTATCTTCTAGTCTGGGCTTATCAGTTTTCTTTGTTGCTTTCTGTAAACAAAGTCCAATTGTCATTTCTACACAAATTTTAGAGTGTATATTTATTAGACAAATAATATGCTGTGTAAAATAAACATAAACATTCACCCACAAGTCAATTTATAGTTATACTACATTAAGCCATAGCAATTTGATTAAGTTAAAACAATTCATTATTTAAAGACATTCTAAATTCAACTATAATTAGACTGTACAAAACTAATTCCCACACAAATAACTTACATGTTAAAGCGATTAACTGTTGAAATATTCAATTTTGAAATACCTCTGTAAAGAGGTAGTAATGGCATCAAAAATTCAACAGCAAATAAATACAAAGTAAAAGTAACTGACTTTGGATAACATTATATATGTAATAATGAACCTTATACCTATTTTCTTTAAAATAAACAAAAATTATGCTGAATTTTTTATACTGTGCATTCCGCCCCTCCCGTACTTTAACTCTGAGTTAAGTTCCCAGGGCTTTTTATTTTTTTGAGACAGAGTCTTAATAAGATCCAGAGGCTGGACTTGAACTTGTGATCCTCCTGCCTCAGCCTCCCAAGTCAATGGGCTTATAGGCGTGCACCACCATGCCCAACTATACTGTATTTCTCAAAAGATAACTCCTGAAGACAAGGGAGTCAGATCAGCATGAGAGAAACAAAGTGAAGCCAGACGCGGTTTAAACATGTTCACCCTAATGTAGTAAATATAATTTACTGTTGACTTTTTCTAATCCTTGGAGTTTTTATTTATACTTTTTTTTTTTTTAGGTGGTATGGAGAATGGAGCCCAGTGCCTCACAAGTGCTAGGTGTGTTCTATCACTGAGCTATAACCCCAGCAGTTATAATTCTTAAATCATTTTACTAGAATAGCCAAAACAATGTGGAACTTTGAGAACATACCAAGATAAGTTCTTTCCTAATTTTTAATATTTATTTTTTAGTTTTAGGTGGACACAATATTTTTATTTTATATTTATGTGGTGCTGAGGATCAAACCCAGTGCCTCATGCATGCTAGGTGAGCACTCTACTGCTGATCCACAACTCCAGACCCATTTTTAAATGTATTTCTTTTAGTTGTTGATGGACCTTTATTTTATTTTATATGTGTTGCTGAGAATCAAACCCAGTGCTTCACACATGCTAGGCAAGTGCTCTACCACTGAGCCACAACCCCAGCCCCTCAAAATAAATTTTTGAAATAATCTGAACAATGGCAGTATTTTCTCAAAAAACTATATAAATTTCCAAAATAAATAGTTTAAGCCAGTAAAAGTATGGATACCTTTTAAGATTATGGCAAATAGCCTTTACAAATGTCTGAATAATCCTAGAAAATATCAGTGTACCGAACAAAACCCAGTTGTTTAAATAATGGCCACAAATATCACTCAAAAAAAATCACTCAGGCCTGAATTAGTATTTAAGGCAGGAGAGTTAATACTACACCTTAGAAATGTTTTATGAAAAATGGCTAAAATTATTAAGTTGTATGGATCAATTACTTTCCAATTAAGGGGGGGGAGTAGGCATCCTGGGAATGTACCAAAATTTCTCTTGTAACAAATAAAGGGTTGGGGATGTGGCTCAGTGGGGGAGCACTGGCCTAGCCATGTGTGAGGCACTGGGTTCAATCCTCAGCACCACAAAAACAAACAAACAAAGTTTAAAAAAGCAAAAAAATAAAAAATTTGAATAAAGGCTTGGGATGTAGCTCAGAAGCAGAATGCTTGCCTAGCACAGGCCCTCAGTTCCACCCAGCAAGCAAGCAAACACAAAAACTTCACATAATTTTTTTCCCCAGAGAGTGATAATATAAAGTCAATTCACTATATATCTTTTAGTGCACTAATCTAGACTTACCAGGCTCAAATCTTGAAACTGTACATTTTGATGTCAAAATAGTTACCTAAAATCTAAGAGCTCTATATTTAAAGCCTTGAAATCTTTATAGAAAAGATTTAATCAAATCAACCTAATCTTGTGTTATTGACTTAACTTGAATTTTCCATAAGTTTGTAGAGAAAAACTCCATTATATGATATAAATACTTTAAGCAATGAATAATTTAACCAGGTTCAAATTACTTGTAAATAATTCCTCCCATCATAAGAATGTTCAAATTTTACTATCAACAAAAATTCCAATTTCTTGTAACATCCTGAAGTGATTTTTTTGGGGGGTGGGAGGTGGATGGGAGGGTGTGGTATTAGGGATTGAACTCATGGTCTTGCACATACTAAGCAAATCCTGTCACTAAGTTTTAAATCCTAGTTCTTTATATTTTATATTGTGACAAAGGAAGGTCTTGCTAGATTGCCCCAAATGGCCTAGAATTTGTAATCCTCCTGCTTCAGTTTCCAGAGCAGCTGGGATTATAGTTATGTGCCACCCTTGACAGGGTTACTAGCCTAAAGTTTCTGAGAAAACTGACTTTAGCATTCAACACAGCCCACTTACTTTTTATTAGTTATTTGTATACACCCTTTATTTTCTCTAAATGGTGAACTCCTTAAGTAGCAAGTCCCCAAGTGTAGCTTGTTATCAAAATCGCAACTATTTTAAAATATCTTGCTTCACTCTGATTCTTAAGTTTGGGCAGAAAAATCTATATTTTAAATGTGTAGCTTTAGTAATCTGGATGCAGCATTTAAGTGGGCACCAGAGAGCAAGAGCACTATCATATTTTTAACTCAAGCATCTTAGAACAAAAACAAAAGTAGTGCCTGACACAGGAGGTTCTGTCAAACAAATGAATGATGCGTACATTCTTGAGAGGGAAAATCAAGTCATTTATTTTTGAAAATCCATTTCCTATTGGGGGGGCAGGGAGGTGTGGGGATGTGGCTTATAGGTAGGTGGCATGCTTGCCTAGTATGTGTGAGGCCCTGGATTCCATCCCTAGCACCATAAAAAGAGAAGAAATGACATAGATTTTGAATCAAAGTAGGAAATCAATCCCCTTACATTTTCTTAAACTTCAGCTGAACAAAGAAAACTTTAAAATGTACTAGATAAACTCTGTGATTTTAAATTTAATCTGTAGGGGGAAAGTGCCAGAAAAGTAATTCATTTTATAAATATAAAAAAAATTGGGAGCCGGGTAGTTTGGTGTACATGATTAACAAGACAGCAGTTTCAATCAGGAAGAAGGAAACATTAATTGTACTAAATTCTACCTCCTGATAGTTTTATTCCTTTAAGTCACAATCTGTTAAGTTTCATTCAGTCAAAAATACAGAGTACTATCAGAGATATGATAAATTATTGTATAATGGTGTATTAAGAATCATAATGCAAAATTAAATAAATAAATAGATAAAATAAAAAAGTATCAATACAGGCAGCAAGAAGTTGAGGGAAAAAAAAAAAAAAAAACAACAAAACAAAACAGTGTACCTATGTACCAAGAACTCTTCTCCAGTTCGTTCCCAGATACCAGATGACATCTACTGTTTTTTTCTTTTTTTATATATATAAATTTTTAGTTGTAGTTGGGACACAATATCTTTTATTTTTATTTGTTTTTATTTTTTATGTGGTGCTGAGAATCGAACCCAGCACCTCACACATGCTAGGCGAGTGCTCTACCGCTGAGCCACAACCTCAGCCCTCTACTGTTTTTTTCAATTTTAAAATCCAACAATTCTGTAAAATAACTTGTTTAATTTCTACCTTTAATAGCAAAGATGCTGATAACAATACTATTATAAAATAAATTCTACTGAGCACACATTATATATTGATGTGTGTACTAAAGTGCCTTATAGTATTTGAGAATTCTAAAAAAAAAATCATGATAAAGATGCTAATATCCCCATTTTACTAAGTGAGGAAACTAAGGTCCAAGGCTGTAAGGCTAACAAGGGACATCTGCATACTATGTAACATAGTATCACTGAACAGACATTATATATCACTTTCATATACTTATCCTTTTCTGAAATTGTTATTACAGTAACTTTGCACTGTACTGCCCTGATATTAAGATGAAAACATCCAGAAACAATGACTATAACAGGTATCAATTACTGAGCACAAGGCACTTCATTTATGCAAACTCATGTAATCAACCCTCAATCTGATAAGTGACTTTTAATTCCTATATTCCAGGTAAAAATGGAGAAACCTAAAGGCAATCAATGTTCACTGTTCAATAAGCAGCAGACCTAGAATTTAAATCTGTAACTCTTGATTCATTTAACACCTCATTAAGGAGCACTGCAATCAATTTATGATTTATGCTAACTTGCCTTTTACGGTTCTGTCCCAAGTCTTTAAACATTTCCTGTTAAGAATTAATCAGGTTGGGGGACAGGGTGGCTCACTGGTAGTATGTTTAGCCTGCATGAGGCCCTGGATTCAATCCCTACCACACCTTCATGCTTTGCACTTTGTAACAAAAAGGTAGGATGCAAACTCAACGAATGTTTATTCTTGTGTCCACAATCTAATTTCAGCACCTAAAATACTGGCATCAAGATGAATAAAAGAAACAATAAAAGAAAAGAAAAACAAGAAAACTAAACCAAAATAAAAATTTTAACATGCAAATATTTGTCATACTACACATTCTAAGACATTGTTGTGGTGGTACATACAAAGCAAATTCTCTCTTATAAAGGAATCTGACATGCAAAATAGTTTTACATATCAACTATTATAAATGTTCTATGGCTCTTGTAAATCCAAAGAACCCCTTCCTATCACATATTAAAAAAAAAAAAGTCTATTCAGACTTACTTGTAACTTACTCTTGTCTTAAGTATCTTTTTTTGTTTGTTTTTGGTACCTGATTGAACTCAGGAGTACTCTATCACTGAGCCACATACCCAACCCTATTTTGTAACTCACTCTTGTCTTAAGTATCTTTTTTTGTTTGTTTTTGGTACTGGATGGAACTCAGGAGTACTCCATCACTGAGCCACATACCCAACCTTATTTTGTATTTCATTTAGAGACAGAGTCTCACGGAGTTGCTTAGTACCTCGCTTTTGCAGAGGCTGGCTTAGAACTCACATTCTCCTTAGTCTCCCCAACAGCTGGTATTACAGGCTTGCGCCACTTGCCTCAAGTATCTTTAAAACAGAAAATAAAGCTATTGACTACCAATATTAACTTTTTCAAGTTGTTATCATTGAGCCTGGCCAAAGGCATACATTTTTAAGTTTTAATCACTCAAGTGGGATAAGACAAAATTCTATGGTTATGAAATAATTCTCCTCTATAAAGGAAGCTGGGCATGGTGGTACACTCCAACAGTCCCAGTAACTAGGGAGACTGAGGTGGGAGGATCACTTGAGACCAGGAGACACCCCCTCACCGCCAGAGGGAGAAATATAACTTTTTAGCATGTCACTGGACACAGTAGTGTGTGAGTGTGTGTGTGTGTGAGTGTGTGTGTGTGTGTGTGTGTAGGGGGGCAGGTGTTGGGGATCAACCTAGACCTTCCATATGCTAAGCAGATCTCTACTAGTGAGCCACACCTTCAGTCCCACAGTAGATAAGCTAAAAAAAAATGTTAATTCCCCCCCCCCCCAATGAATTGGGGTGAGAAATGGGTAAATAACATAATTTTTAGACCCAAGACACTAAATTTTTATGATGATGTGTAGGGTCTGCAGAAATCAATCTTTAAATTTCTATTTTTATTATCTTAATGTGTTATGAGCACATATTAGGAACTCAAAAATGATGGAAACTCCAAGATTTAAAGTTTTTGCATACAACCCAAACTTTATGGTTTAATACAACTACACCAACAAAGGGTACTACAGAAGAACTGTTGTTGTTTTTTTTTTAAAGTGTGCTGACTGAAATGGAAGATATTTCACTTTTGACCAAATCTATAATGAAATAGTTTGAATACTATCCCTTTTTTGAAGAGTCAGTGGAGGAAAATCAATAAGGGATAAACTTTACTTTGAAAGTAAATTTTTGTTTAAAGTGGCTTTCTTTAAACCCTAAAATGGAGACATTAGAAACAATAAAATTTGGCTGTTCTTTTATTTATTGAACAAACACTTATTATATACTATGTGGCATACACTGCCTTGCATGATTTTTAGTTTCTCTGAAGCCCAGACTGAGACTTTTCAGATTAAATTTACATGTGTCTGTTACATGTTATTCATTTCCATTTCATTCGTTAGCGAAACACATTAGATAAAAAAATTTAAATTAACAGAGAATGTTGTAAAACTTTTGAAAAGAAATAGGTTGGGGTTTGGCTCTGTTGCAAAATGCAGCATCAAAAAAAGAAAAAGAAAAAAGAAAGAAAAAGAAAAGCAGCAATAACTTTGAGTTATAATAGTAACCAGCAGCAACAACTCCTACCACATTTCACCGTCTTTCATGAAAGCATTTTAAGTTATGCCATCAAGTTTTAACAACATTATGATACGAAGCCTGGTAACTAAGTATATACAAACCAACAAAAACACACTTAAAATTTACCGATAACAAAAAGCAAACTAATAAGCATTCGCTGAAGCCAATCTGAGATTTAACCAGGATCAGACATTTAATACCATAATCCCAGCGACTCCGGAGGCTGAGACAGGAGGACCCCGAGTTCAAAGCCAGCCTCAGCAACAGCGAGGCCCAAGCAACTCAGTGAGACCCTGTCTCTAAATAAAACACGAAATAGGGCTGGGGATGTGATGTGGTCACATGAGTGCCCCTGAGTTCAATTCCCGGTACCCCTCCCCCAAATTTAATACAGACACATCATGATGTCATAAAATAAACCTATCTCTTGGTTCCGAATCTTTCTTTTCTCAAGTAATATTAAGCAAAAAAGGGGTGGGAGAGGACAATCAACCCAAACTCATTAACTAGAATTTCCCAAGATCGATGATAAACATTTAAAAAAAATTTTTTTTAAGGTTCATTTCAACCTAGAGTAAAACTGCCGCGACAAGAGATGGCCTGTTGCTGGAACAAGTCAGACTAACAAGAAAACACCAGTTCAAAAAGCCCTCTGCATGCAAACCAACAAAACCAATATGAAAAGGCGGGAATTTCTTTATTTCAAATTTTGCTTAGATATGAGTAGGTCGCAGACTGCCCTCCAGGGAGCGCTCTGAGACTGCTCTGCGCGAGTCATTTCGGTTACTGAAGCGGGAAAACGCTCGGACCTGACCTACAGCGTTCCGGGGCCGACCCCGCCAGGCGTTTCAAAAGCGCTCGGGGCCCGGTCTCAGGGCCCACTCCCGACGGCCGCTAGTCGAGGACCGGGGCTCTGGCGCCGCACAGCTCCCCGACGCAGCGTCCGAGCGCCCCGCGGCCGCAACTTCTGGTCCCTCCCTCGCAGCGCCCCGGTCCCAGAGCCCGCACCCCGGCGGCGACCGAGCTGCGGGCCGGAGCACGGGGACAGCCCCGAGCCGAGCGGGGGCGAGCGCGCGCGGAAACCGCCAAACGCCCGCCTTTGTGGCCCCGGCCGGGCGTCCTTACCCTGCCGACGGTGGCGCGGCCGCGGCCCGCGGTGGAGGGCCCGGAGCTGAGCACTGGGGTGGGCTCGCGCTCCTCGTCGCTGGAGAAGTCCGGGGGCCCCTTGCTGTTGGCGCCCGCGGCGTGCGGCGGCCGGTTGCGTGCAGTGAGGTGCTGCAGGTAGAGCTGCACGTACACGTCTTTGCGCTGCTCCCCGGCCGGGAGAGTCACATTGTTGGCGACCAGTTCACTCTTCAACTTGTCTTTCGTCAGGACCGAGGGGTCTTCCAGGAACTCCGGCATCTCCGGGATCTACTAGTCCCCTTCCCCGCAGCCTCACTGCCGCCGCTCACACCGCCGCGCTCACTCCTGGCCGGGGGCCGCGCTGCCGCCTCCGAGCCTTACGGCTCCCGCCCGGGAGGAGCGCCGCGGGGGCACGGCAAAAAACTCGCAGACACAAAGCGAGGCCAGACGCGGGCACAAAAGCGCCGCGAGCCCAACTACGGACTAAGTGCGGACAGGCTGGGAGGCTGCACCAACCCCAGCCCACACACTACAGCCAAGGCGAGAGCAGCCTGCTTCGCCCACGCCCCAAGAACGCGCGCCGCCATTGGCGGGCGGCGGGAGGAAGCGCGGCGGTGATTGGCTGGGCGGCTCGCGCGGGTTCCATTAGCCACCGTGCGGAGCGAGAGGTTGTAGAAACGCAGTTTAAAAGCTGCTCGGGCGGGAGCTCAGGCTTCTGGCCCGTTTCGGTTTCCCCCTTCCTCCACCCTTCCCTTTAGACGCTGATAAGGGACAGGTCGTACTGCTTTTGTGCTCCGTTTCCTTTCCCTCCTCTTGCCTGGGACACAGCTTCCATCCTGGGTCGGTCACCTCCGAGCGGGCCGAGTTCCACGCCAGCCCTGAGGACCCTTGGCTGGGCCTTTCTCCCTCCCAGGACACTGTCCATCAAAGAATAGGCTGCTTTCCCGAACGCTAGCTCTAGTGGGGAAGACGAGAGGCGAGGCATGCATGTTCGTGTGTCTTGATTTACTTGGAGAGTGGAAGGGGCAGCACCAGGAGGCAAATTCCCCACTGCTCGGAAAAGCTTCTTTTGTTCCTGCAATTCCGGAGAAACTGGACCTCTGCTATTAGTTTAAAATGTCCTTGAATTTGTTGACAAAATTGCATTCTTATATATCCCGTTTGCTTGTGACCCTACGGATTGGGCATTTCTTAATTATTTCATTTGAACAGTTACTTGGAGCTTACATAAATCCGTGCATGCATTTTTGCTGGACAGTCTCTCTTGGTTAGATCCCCTCCAGCCTTAAGTCTCTGACTATGACTTAAACCCAGAGAGAGTGGTAACAAATAAATGAAGCGCAGTATTTATAGTCAACTTCAAACAACGGAGATGATACATTCTAGATTTTAATTTCGGACGCAGCATTAGTGACCTATAATTAGGCCGGAAACTATAAACAAACCCATGTTAAACTGATTAAAATCCAGTAGAATCTGAAACATATACTCTAATTAAAATATCTTCCTGGAAACAAACACCATTGATGACATCAATAGGAACAAACACGTTTCAAGAATATACGTATGTAGATACGTTTCAAGATGCTTCCTAAAGAGAAGCTATCCTCGGATTTAGGTTGTCAGCTGACTCTGAAAAAAATCTCAAATTATGCTTTGTAAACTGCTTTAAAATTTTTTAAATGTTTACCTGATTTCTACATGGTTACATTGAAGTAAATTTAAAATAAATGCCATCACTAAAAATGTTTTTATGAATTCAAAGAAACATTCTTTTAATGACATTATTTTCCTAGAAGTGATTTTATTAATTCCTGCCTAAAAATCTCAATATTACATATATTTAGGCAACAGTATTAAACTCACTGATGAAAATTTAAAATTTTGTTTTAATAAAAAAGTTATTTTGTACATTTTTATAATCACTTATAAAAGTTGGGGTTCCCCCACCCCCATCACAGCTTCCCTCCGCCCCCCATCACAGCTTCCCACGGCATAGGTGAGTGTTTCTATCGTCAAAAAGGGAACTGAACTGAGAGATAAAGGACCATAATTTTGCGTCCCAATCTGCAATATACTTCAGTTATGTTTTCCAGTATAGTCTCAAATTTTAATGGACAGAACAAGTCTTGAGCTTTATCTCTGCAAGGGAATATACAATAGGTCTTTTGTGGATCTTCAGAGGAAGAAGTATTGCTGATATTTTGGTGACATTTTAAGATAATATTCTTCTACCCTAAGTTTTTATTTTTTTATTTATTTTATTTTTTTTTGGCACTAGGGATAGAACTCAGGGGCACTAGACCACTGAGCCACATCCCCACCCCTATTTTATAGTTTATTTAGAGAAAGAGTCTCACTGAGCTGCTTAGTGCCTCGCCATCACTTTAGGTGGACACAATATCTTATTTTTATGTGGTGTTGAGAACCAAAGTCAGTGCCTCACATGTGCTAGGCAAGCACTCTACCACTTGAGCCACAAGCCCAGCCTCCTGAGGCTGGCTTTGAACTCGCAAATCTCCTGTCTCAGGCTCCCAAACCACTGGGATTACAGGTGTGCACCACTGCGCTGGCTTCTACCCTAAATTTGGTATGAGTACAATACAATACTAAGGTCTCACTGCCACCTCAGTGTGCTTCCTGAAGATGCTGCATTGAAACTGTTTGTTTTGTTATCCACAGGACTTTTGCACCAGAAGTTTTACAAGTAGTTTAATTTTTAGAGACAATAATGAAGCCAGAATTAAAAAAGAGATAGTCAGCATAGACAAATTGAAGAAAACAGACCAATCTGGTTTGGGTCCAAACGTTGGGTACTGTGCCTGTGGGAGACTGAAATGTTAATATCCCCAAAGTCCAGCCTACTGTGCCTGTGGGAGATTGAAATGTTAATATCCCCAAAGTCCAGCCTATAAGGCCCATCCTAAAGAATTGTTAATGAAGCAACTCCAGAGCAGACTGGGAAACTGCTAATTAATTTGCCCTGGGCCCCCTTTCTTCCCAGATCACTCCTTCCCTGGCCCTCTAGACCACCTGTTCCCCACCTTTTCGCCATTCCATCAATCATCTCCTGGGCCTAGCCATGTATGCAGGAAGGAAAGAGATAAGGAGGAAGAGAACAGGAGAACAAAGGAAGCCTAGGACATATAAAAAGGCAGAGCACCTACACTTCCTAGGATACCAACTATGGCCCACTTCTCCCTCCTGGGAAAAGTCTATGTTACCCCTTTTTAAGTAAACCCTGCTTTATATGCTTGCCTCGGTGTGCTTCTTTAATGTTATCCTTCAACATGTGAGGAAGCAGAACTTGTCACTCATAACCTGTAGTATCGATAGCTCATCCTATTTTTTCCACAAGCAAAGGAGTATTGACCAACTATTGAGTCTGAAAGTTGTTTTAGAAGACAGTACTGTGCCCTACAAGTCAAGATATGATTCACAAAAACTGCATTCTAGATGCCTGAAATTAATGTTCCCTAAACAAAAACTGTCACTTTCATCTCTTTTTCTTATTCCTGGACATGCTATCAATAGGAGGTTACTGCAGATACTACATTTCTCCGGAAGCATGATTTATGTCATAAGCTATCAGAATGAGACTGCCTTTCTAGATCTTTCTCTCCAAATCATGAGTTATCAAATTGAGACTTGGAATCATCCTAGGATGTATTCCCAGAACCATTACTTTTAGTGATGAATGTAATTTTTGCTTTTAACTCTGCTGTAGAATTCCAAAGTAGAGGATATTTTTCTCTCATATTCTATGTACCTCAAACTAAAGTAATTAGGCTACTGAATTTGTTCCTGATCACTACTTTCAAACTTCTCTTTCCTCCTCCAGGAACATTTGGAGTTCACATCATCCAGCTAAGTCACCCTTTACTATTTTTGCTATTATTTACTAACCTCCTGGCTAATCTCCTTCAGAAATTATAGATCTCCTTGCTCTAGGTTTTTCTCACTATCATTCTTGTCTACAGTTTATGCAGATTCAGCATCTTGTAGGTGATCTGTGCACTAACACTTAGCTAACACTAACACTAACACTTAGCCTCTTAGATCTTTGACTTCTGTATCTCCAACAATTTGTTCCCCTTTTCTATTGTATCGACTCTAGTGGTAAGACTATGAGCCTTAGCATCAATAACTACCTTACCTTTTAAAAAAAATTGTGATTATCTTTGGAGCATCAATTTTACTACCAAATTGGTGAGAAATAGAAACTTATTAAGAACCATCTCTGCAGGCTGGGGTTGTAGCTCAGTGGTAGAGTACTCACCTCACATGTGGAAGGCAATGGGTTTGATCCCCAAGCACCATACAAAAATTAATAAAGATATTGTGTCCATCTACAACTAAAAAAATATTAAGAAAAAAAATCTCTGCTATTCCAGAAACATGGCAGAAAGGACAGAGAAGAGTAGGGAAGGGAGAAGAGTCCCAGGTAAAAAGTCTGTGATATTTCTTCCACTTGGGGTAGTGGGGCCAACTCATCCACAGGCAGTTCTGAATGCCCTCCGGATTGGAATTCATGGGGTGATGTTCCAGGAAGCGTGCAGACTTCCCTCCTGCAGCTGTTCTACGTGAGTGAGATCCCCTGTAATCTATTTGGTTTTTGCCTCTGTCTGAGCTGTCCACTTTCATTGGAGCCACTTTATTTCTGAGTCCAGAGTGTGTGTGTCTTCCTTTTGTTGGAGCACATTGTTCCTGAATTTAGTGTTTGTCTTGAGGGCCAGCAGGCAGCAACATGGCATTCAGCAACATATTCCTAGGATACAGTTGCAATGCTCCTAGTCACTGCCTCTCAGTCCTTGCTGTTGTCAGGAGTACAGGCTGTGTAATCCTACCATGGGGTTGCTCAGTAGGGAGGGAGTTTTCTTCTCTTGACAAAGTATCCCAGGAGGACTTGCTGCTCTCTGCCTCCTACCCACTGTGCTCAACAAGGGGCTGGGCGAGGGGGGCTGCAAGAATATGTTGTGGGACTATACTGGATTGGGGTATCCTTGTTTGCAAGTTGCAGAGGGGAATGGCAGGCAGACTGGGTCTTCTATGCCCTTCTGTCCTGACAGTCCTCCTGAGGCAGCTACAGCTCACAGGACAAAAAGGGAAAGAAGTAAAGAGCAGGCTCACTGGCACTCTTTTTTGAACAGAGAGTGAAGCTGAAAGGATTGGAAGGGAATGGGCTGGGCCCACTTTTGGATGCGTAGGATAGGGTTAACTTGGACTGATCAGTCCCCCTGGTTTGTTTGTGCTGGAGCATCAGAAAGATAGCTATAATCTCATCAAATTTTCTGGTTACCTAAGATACTCAGGTTTCATATGGACCACAAACCATGTCAAACATGACCCTCAGTTGTGAGGTTCTAGGTGGCTGGGGAGTGGCTCCCTAGAATAAATCAATGAATATTCCTCACATTAGTTTAGTCATGGTGCCTTGCGACTTAGTCTACCGTGGTATTCTTTGTGGGGTCGGTCAGTAACTGATGACACTTATCACTTCATGAAAACGTGAGAGGGAAAGTTGTACCATGTGTGCAAG